GTGTGTGTCATAGTGGGTCTTACTGTGTGTGTCACTGTGTGTGTGTCATAGAAGCACTTACTGTTGGTGTTACTGTGTGTGTGTCACAGTGTGTCTTACTGTGTGTGTGACTGTGTGTGTGTCATAGTGGGTCTCACTGTGTGTGTTACTGTGTGTGTGTGTCATAGTGGGTCTTACTGTGTGTGTTACTGTGTGTGTGTCACAGTGGGTCTTACTGTGTGTGTTACGGTGTGTGTGTCATAGTGGGTCTTACTGTGTGTGTTACTGTGTGTGTGTGTCATAGTGGGTCTTACTGTGTGTGTGTCATAGTGGGTCTTACTGTGTGTGTTACTGTGTGTGTGTGTCATAGTGGGTCTCACGTTGTGTGTTACTGTGTGTGTGTCATAGTGGGTCTCACGGTGTGTGTTACAGATTGTGTCACAGTGGGTTTACCTGCGAGCAGTCTGCAGACAGGAAGGTGTATGGATACCTTGTCCTGAGACACCTGGTACCTGAAGGTCTCCACACAGTGACTGGCCAGACTCAAGCTGATTGGCTGCTCGCCGTCTGGAAGGCCACTGTGACACTGACTGAGCGCGCCCAGGCACTTCCTGTACGCCTCAATCAGCACTCGCTCCTGAGTATATAAAAGGCAAATAGTCAAATATAAGCTGCTGTATTAATCATGTACTATACTATTTAGTGTATGCTATCTGTACTACGTATAAGACCTTCTAGACATATGGCATATGACAATATGCAGTATATGTAGTAATATGAAGTAGTAAGATTAGAGGAGTAGTAACCCAGTCTCACATCAGTGGAGCACCACTCTTGGATCATGGAAATGATGTGAGTCAGTTTCATTTGCAGAGTGAATGCTGCCTCCCACTCAGGCTCCATCTCTATGTGCTGCCCCACCTGTCTCACCACGGGGTCCATACCCTGACACAGACAGACGGTTTAAGAGGCAAAGAAAGAGGTGTGGAAAGACAAAGAGAGTTTCAGACAGACATATTCAGAGAAAGGAAATAGATGTGTTCAGATAGAGAGAAAGACAAGTTCAGGCAAACCGGTTCAGACAGACAGGTCTTGGTTACCTGCATACACTTGAGCAGCTCCAGAAAAGCATCCAAACCTTCCAGAAACTTCAGTCTGAGCTGTTCGCTCCACTCAGACGGATGACTGATGAGAACGTACCTGCCGACACACAAGTAAACTGATCCGTAAGTCAAGATGGAACAGCTGTAACTCCACTTTATGCCTCTTACTCTCTCTAGCGAACATGACCTGACTCTGTACCTATCCGTTGTAACATTCGCGCCCTCTCCCTGGCCTCCTCTGTCTACAACCTTCCCTTCAACGGACTCCTTCCCTCTCATACATCTGAACTCTGCCACAGGCACTCTACATCACCCTCTCCATCTGTCCAGTAACAGGGCCCCCTGGTGGTCCGACTCAGTGAGAGAGCCACTATGCGAGCAGCAGAAAGGAAACACTGCGATGACCTGCTCGCTTATCAATCTCTTCTTTCTCTACAACCAAAAGCTCATTCAAGCCTCATTGACCCCCCCAACCCACTCCTCCCTCCAGCAGAGCCACTTTCTCAACTATTTTACAAAAGAGATTCTAATCCTCCCCCTGTGAATACATTTCCATCCACTTCATATTCATCCCCTTCACTTTCCTCTTTCACCCCCTTGTCTCCAGACCAAGTTCTCACCTTGGTAACCTGTGCCCGACCAACCACTTGCCCCCTTTATAGAGATCCTGTCTCACATTTTCCAGGCTATTGCTCCTCGCCTTCTTTTTCTCTCCGATCTTATCAATTCCCTGTCAACTGTGTTAACTCTCTGAAGGAGTCTCTCTCTCTGTCCTTATCCTTTGTGATCTTCGAGTGAACCACAGGATCCTTTTTTCCTCCCTTCAAGAACTGGGTGTCTCAGGATCTGCTCCGTCCTAGGTCCCCTCCTACACAAACTGTCTCGGCTTTGTCATCCACTCACATGGCTTCTCCTACCATCGCTATGCTGATAACGCCCAACTAATTGCGTCTTTTCCCCAATCTGAGACACAGATTGAAGCTTGAATTTCTGCCTGTTTGGCTGACATCTCTCTGTGGAGTTTTGAGGCACCGCAAGTTCTTTTATAACTCCTCCTAACAGGTCTACCTGCCAGCGCCATCAAACCTCTGCAGCTCATTCAGAATGCAGCAGCTCGACTGGTCTTTTCTCTTGAATTACCCCACAGTAGTCCTTCCTTCACTGGTTATCAATCCGACCCCGTCACCTGGTTAGCAGTACTTTCCCGTCACTGATTGCCAGTGGCTTCCCACATCCGTTTCAAAATATTGGTACTTGGTACCATGCGGCCAACAGAGTCGAGTCTGCATCCAGTACCTGGTCTAACCTTACGTCCCTGACCACTCACTCCGCTCTGCATCAATCTGCTTGTTGCTCCCTCACTGAGAGCTAAACAGAATCAACAGCATGCCGATTGTTTGATGACCTGGATGCTAAATGGCGGAATGAGCTCCCCATTGACATAAGGAACCCTCTAAGCTGAAAATACACTTCTACCCACTGCACCTGGACTAGGTAGCACCTCGTTCCACTATATCTGGACTAGTTAGCCTCTCTACCCACTGTACCTGGACTAGGTAGCGCTTTATTGCTACTTACAATGGCACTTTGTGGTTTGGCTTTCTTGTAGAAATGGTACTTGATTCTTGTTGTTCTGGTCTGTTCCCTCTTGGTTAAATGCACTTACTGTAAGTCACTTTGGATAAGAGCCTTAACTAAATGAAAAATGTAAATGTATAAACTGGTATAGTAGCTGGTGTATAAACTGGTATAGTAACTGGTAAACTGGTTTAGAGTAACTCGGGATTAACTGGTCCTAACTTGAGGTCTCCGATGAGGCTCTGGACTCGTCCGAACTTGAAGGCCTGCTGGGCGGTGTAGCGGTCAAACTGGAAGCGTCCTTGCAGGTCTCGGTGACGGAGGTGATCAACAAAGGTCCTGATGATGGTGGTCATAAGGTTCTCCTCTACCATCAGCATCCGGGCCTGCAAAAAACACACATACACACAGTTATGATTTGTCACCTTCATCAGATGCTATTGTTATGGGTTAGGGTTACTAATACAGATAGAGTTGAAATGACAGTAAGCTTCTGGTTAATTATGCGTTCATGTTAATTATAATAATTCAATTTTATTGTAAGTTACTTGTGGTAGGTGACATGGAAATAGAAATAGTTATCGTTTTAGGATCATTAAAATGAATAGATGACGGAAAAAAGTCCCAACATTTATTTGTAAAATTAATCTCCACGGTTCAGTCTGTATTGTTGCACTTCTATTTGTCACCTCCATCTCACACACACTGAACTCACCAGCATCAGGACACTGAAAATTTGCACTGATGGAAAACTCAGTCGTGGTCCTCTGTTACGTAGTCGCACTGTAAGCGTTCACACTTCTACCAGCAGGAGGGGGGGAGACCGGCATAGAGAGAGAGACAGGTGTGTGGTAGAGGAGGAGTACTCACCATGGTTGGGACGGTGAAGAGCTGAACAGACAGTGACGTCACTGACACCACTCGCTCGTGGTCGTCCTCCATAAAATCTGTCTGAAGGCGTCTGTAGTTCTAGAGGGTGACATTTCACCTCCAAGTCAAAGGGTTGCTAATGTTGGGCCGCCGGAACCAAATAGACTCCACAAAACGCTGCTTTAGAGCCGGACTGGTGATATTCTATTAATGTGGATCAATCCACTTCGGGAAATACACAAAACAACTACAAGAACTACAACAAGCGGCTGTGTTGGAAAATCTGTCTCTACCAAAAACAGCGGTTAGTGAGTAGAACACGACTGAAACACGTCCATAGAGGATCTCTGATGCTAAGACTGGCCAGGCCAACAGTTAAATAAAGGGCAGGTGTACATGGGCTGTTAAAGAGAGCGGGAGATGTCAATAAGTCAACACAACATCATCCGTAGCAACAGCAGTGTGAATGACATATACAACTAAACTTGTGTGTTACGTTTCAACGTGGCAGCGTTGTGTCTTACTGACACACATCGTACACTTTGACTTCTGATACTTTTATTGGTTAGATGTTAGCCCCACCTCTTTATCCGATCATCTGACAGGCTGATTGAAAAACTCTGGTGGTCAATAACTAGCTTAATAGTACATTTAACAATATCCTAATTTTACAGAAACGGTCAAATGACTGGCAGCAGCGACTGCCAAACAAGAACCGTAAAATTAAGGTTGCATTGGAGCTGGTGACACCAACAGACTTAACAAACTTGTTAAGAAGGCCGGCTCCATCATTGGCTGCAAACAAGACAGCTTGGAAAAGGTGTTGGAGGGGAGGTCACTGAAGAAACTGTTATCCATATTGGATCATCCTGACCACCTGCTGCAGGGACAGCGGAGCACGTCCTCCAACAGACTCCTTCAGCTCCGCTGTCACAAGGACCGATACAGGAGGTCATTCCTGCCCAGTGCAACAACTCTCTACAATAAACCATCTCTGGCCAAATAACGACAATAACAACTCTGTACTGCTGTGATGCTGCTGCTCTTCCTCTTCTCCTTTTACAAATGATTATTATTGTCTCTTTTTGAAGGTTATTCTTTTGTTTCAGTTTTATTTTATTTAATAATTTAATATTTCTGTCTTATTATATTGTATATAATGTGTATCTTTTTATTCTATTTTCTTCCCTGTACATGTTGCTGTGATACCAAAATTTCCCTCTTGAGGGATCAATAAAGTATCTATCTATCTATCTATCTATCTAAAGTGTTTGATTGTAATAATACAGACAAAATCTATAAAATAGATGTATATCTGTTATGGTTTTCACACTTCATTTTAATTAAGTAATGTTACCTTAAGTAATGTTTAGCAGCCGCTGTTCCCAGTCATTTGACTGTTTTTTTTACAGTGTAGGCTTGTTGTTGAATTAAGGATAGTTAAAACCTGACAACCAGTAGGACCAGTTACAGCAGTGTTTCCCACACCTTTTCTGTCAGGATATTGGGAAATTGTAAGTCCCCCAACCGCATCGCCCCACTCCCCTAATAGGGTCATTCCATGTTTATATAAATATAAACTCTATACGAGAACATGTATTTTATAAAACAAGTACATTTACTCTTAATAGTTATATTACATTTTGTAAACATATTTTCAAGTAAATTTAATTGTTGGCAACAGTGCAAAAACTCTTATTTCCACATTTATACATTTTTCAAACCATTTGAAAAACCTCTCTCTCCCTCTCTCTCTCCCTCTCTCCCCCCGCTCTCTCTCTTCCTCTCTCTCCCGTGAGTGTACGGAGCGCGAGGTGAATTGTTTGACAGCGTTTTCTATCTGTTATTTCGGGGGGGGGGGGGTTTCGGTGTGGTTCTGGTGTGTGTTGTGGTGTGAATGCGTGGTGGTGTGTATGTGTGACTTTCTTTTCTTTTCTCTATGTGTTTTTGTCCGTGTTTGTAGCCGGTCGGCATGTCGGACCTCACGGCGTGAAGCTCGCGCCGGGCTTTGCGTGCTCCGTGGAGGACTGCGGTCTGGCCGTGGGGGTTTGGTGGGGCACGGGAGTGTGAAGTCCGCCACGTGGATGAACCGCGTGGTGGTCATTTTTGTGGATAGCCTGGAGAAGGCGCTCGAGGTGGTGGCGAGCGGCGTGGTCGTCGGCGGGGCGCACGTGCCCGTTCCGCCGTTTGTCCCTGACGGAGTGCTGCTCGAGGAGCTGGTTAAACACGGGAAGGTGGTGTCCCCGTTGAAAAAACTGTCGTCAGGGTGCAAGTCACCGTTATTGAGGCATGTGGTGTCTCACAGGAGACAGACCCACATGGTCCTCACCAAAGCCCAGGCCCTCAGCCTGGTGATTAAGGTGAGGATCGAGGGGGTTGATTATGTTATGTTTGCCACATCGGATGATGGGAGGTGTTTCCGATGTGGTGGAGAGGGACACCTGCCGAGGGTGTGTCCGGAGAAGAACCCCTCCACTCGGGACCAGAACCGGGGAGAGGCCAGGGAGGAAGGTGTGGACTAGCGGGTCGGTCTGGTGGGAGAGGAGATGGGAGGGGTCCAGCAGGTGGCTGAGGGGGTGAGTGTGGGGACGGGTGAGGCGCAGCCGGTCGGTCAGGAGGGTGAGGGAATGAATGTCGGAGTGGACGGGGGGTTGAATGGAGCCCAGCGGGCGGGTCTCGTGTGTGACAGAGTGAAAGAGAGGATGGGGGTCCAACGGGAAGGTGAAGGAGCTCGGGGGGCGCTCGTTGGTGGGGGTCCTGTCCGAGGTGGAAGCTCGGACAGCGAGGAGGATATGGAAGAGGAGGGGGGGGGGTCTTTAAGGTGAGGCGTCCGTCCGGCTGAGGAGGATCCTGAGCGGGGCGGCCTACTGACCGAGAAGGAGATGCTGGAACGGCGGGGTCCAGATCGACTTTGATTATATTATATTGATTACACCACCGGCTGCCAAACTCAAGAATGCCGCGGCCCACTTTGAAATCTGAAAATCTTTGGCGGCCCACCCAAACCTTTAATCACAACTCTGATCTGAACTCTGAGGTGGAGACGGTGCTTTCAGGGTCCGATCGATGCTGCGAGGTGCGTCCGCTCCCGCCGCCCCCCTCGCCATCCACGCCTTAAATCTTCGGCTGCTCTCCAGCCACGCCGCCTGCCAAGGGCCCCTTTAGAATAACTTATTCTCCCTGTTAAGACGGTTCAGCTACTTTAAAGAAAAGGGCGCCGTCTCTCGCTCTTTAATCTCATCAAGTGCTCGGCGAGAACGACAGCTTTTTTTCTCCGACGCGCCCTGAAACAAGCTCCATACCTCACGCGCTTGAGCGCCGCTCAGCATCTCGCCGTCGTAGACGAGCTTTGGCGTGTTTGGCCTTGAGCGCCTTGTACAACCAGTATGGATCAACCGATTAACCAATCTGTTCGTTTAAATTGTTTGTGCTTCATCAATTAATGTTTCACATAACTAATGTGCCGCATCATACATATTTTTATATTAATTTCAAACTTTTCAAAATTGAAAATTAAAAACTTTTTATTTATTTATTGTAAATGACCTCTCGCGGCCCACCTGCAGTACCATCGCGGCCCCCTGGTGGGCTGCGGCCCACACTTTGGGAATCGCTGGATTACACTATATATGTTATACTAAATTGATTATGCTTTATATATTTTATATAACTGCTAAATTGTCATCTTATTGATATTGTTTTATGTAAAATAAAGGTTTTTCTAAGACTCAAAACTCTCTCTCCCTCTCTACCTCCCCAGTTTTGGAACTAGTGACTTAGAGGATCTGGTTGTTAGGATTAGTTAAACCTGATAAGCAGTAGAACTGTGTTGAGGGATTTAGTTGGTTAGTTTGTTACCTTGGCAAACTGGATGGCAAAGACCTTCTTGTATTTGAAGTCCATGAGGAGGCTGTTCATCAGCAGCTGGTGGTAGATGTTCCTTCCTCCTTGAGACACAACACACATCTGTTAGACTTATTTATTACATCTTGCATATCATATATTGCATAAGTGTAGTATATGCCAAATATATTGGTAGCATTAAAGTATTATATTTGTGGTATATTCGTTGAATGCACGCATGGTAGAGGCGCAGTAAATACATAGTGAAAGCATATGTATCTAAGTAGCATATGCCTATGTAAATGTATTGTATGAGTATAATATATGCAGTGTATATATATATATATATAATGTATGTATTTTCAGTAAATCCGTATGATGTGCAGTATATGCGTATATATATAAATATATGCGTAGCATATTCCTAATATATGCGTATGTATAAGTTTGTTTTTTTTAAATCATACAATGTGATTTTCCAGATTTGTTTTAGATTCCGTCACTCACTCACTCACTCACTCACACACACACACACACACACACACACACACACACACACACACACACACACACACACACACACACACACACACACACACACACACACACACACACACACACACACACACACACACACACGCTTTGTTAGTGGGAAAACCTGAAAAATCGGCTGTGTATCAAACGTGTTCTCCCCACTGTACGAAGTATCCATGTAGTATATGCGTAGTATATCCACATATATATGCAGATTCATATGCATTGTTTATACATCTGTATATACGTATGATGTGTATGAGTAGAATAAGCCTAGAATACAAGTATTGTACAAGTATTGTACAAGTAATGTATTGGTATTCACCTTTCCACATCTTTGAGTCATTGAGCATCAGTTTGTCCACCAGAGACGAGTACTCTCCTTCTGGACCTTTCTGCAGGCCGACCTCACACAGAATCCTCCTCAGGCCGTCTGAAACGCAGCAAGGGCACACTTACATCACACACACAGTGAAGGATTATGGGTAATGAGTGGCAAACCTACCAGAGTACTGAATAATCTGACCCAACCAGCTTAGAGCCCTCAGAGCAAAACACTGGTGAGCAACAACAGATGAGTGCATCACCTCCACCCTGAGAGGCTTGGACTGACGACTGGTGTTCCTCTATGGGGGGTCGGGAGAAGGAGGAAACTTGAAGTGATTTTTATATTATACAAGTATATTCACCTCCTCCGTCATGTCTCAGTGATGAAAGACACTCACCACTATAACAGACTTGGCTTGGTCACAGAACTGGAAGTCTCCATAGCGAACTGACTTCCTGCCCTGTAGAGAAGACACACACACATTTGAGGGCAGGCCTTAGACTGCTGCAGCGGGGACAGAAACAAAGAATGGTAGCAAACTCTCACATAGACAAATTTTCCTTTTAAATCTCTTCCAGGCAGAGTTGATGGAACCAAAGTTGATAACCTAACCTCGGTGAACATATTCTGTAGAACTTGCATAAATAGAAGTGAGCAATAGGCATGTCGCAATATGCGATAAAGTGACATATCACGTGAAATCGCGTGCAGTCATTTTTGGTGCTGCAATATTCATTTTACATATAAATGAACGTCACCAACATTTAAGTCGCGCTGCTTCTGTCCCTTTCCCTTGTGTGGGGCTTAAGGCCGGCGCATGCGTCTGCGTCGTTGCGTCAACGGACTCGTTTCAATTCATGCTTCTAAAAGTCTTGCGTGTGTTGCAGAGCAATTCACCGTCAGAACAACAGGCGGAGTAACGTGTTTGTATAAGTGGTCATATTTGCGCATTTCTTCCGACAAAAGTTCTTAAATCTGCTCCGTTTTCTCGTAAACATTCTTGGTTTTAATAATGGCGGTATCGGGCTGTGAAAGCGGAAATGTGAGACTCCGTAAAGGACGTAGTCAGCGGACCAATCGGCTTGCGTTGCTTGCTTTCGACGCACGCCTAGAAAAATGGCTCGACACGCGCAAGGACGCAAGGAGGTGTGAAAAGCGACGCAAGGGACACGCAAGGGGGGCTTGCGTCTGCTCTGAAAACGCAGAAGCATAAATCAGGCTTTAGGCAGCGCGTACAGAGCGACACCGACAGGTGAAGAGAAGCAGTGGACCAAGCTAAAATCTCACCCAAAACAACAACCATCCGCCCGTCTTTCAACCTGAACTACTGTTGGTTCCTCCGGACTGCTCGTTCGCCTCTTTGGACCGGCCAATTGTTAGCGGCACCGAGCCGCCCGTCTCTGCCTGCAGCCACGGAGCCCTGCGTTAAAACTTCCCCGGGTTGCCGCGGTGCGCCTTTCGGCTGGACACATTTCCTCGACCCGACCGCATCGCACCAAGCCCGATGCTTCGCTCGCTCTGTGTCCCTTGCAATTATTTTTGGGGTTTTATTTATATAGGATATATCTTTTCACATTCCGATTCTAATGTCTAACTATTGTGACAAATAAAACGTTCTTTGTTCTTTAAAATAGCGTACTTTTATTGCTATGCTATTATACTGTCATAATGTTATCAGTGGCATGAAATGGTTTGAAAATTGCAATAATATTGCATATCGCAATAAATGTTATATCGTGACAGCCCTAGTGAGCAATGCATTACTTTTAATCATTAATTAATTTCGAAGCACAACAATGTGATTAATCCCAGAAAATCATGTGATTAATCGCAATAATAAATTTGTGGCCGAGATTAAGGCAAAAAAATATTTTAGCGTAGTTAACGTACGTTTGTTTACTTCCGGCAAAGCTAGTGAAACGGCTGCTAGCTGCAGTCAGTTACATCAACTCTCCCATCATTTACCGAAGTAAAATAAAACAGAGGCGCAACACACAACGGAGAAGAGTGCAGAGGAATTACTCCAGGTGGGGGGTGAGTGGCCAACGGACCACTTAAAGCACTGCTATGCTAAGCTAGCTGCTATGCTACTTCGATCTCAACATCTAACCAGGCATGAAAACGGGTCAAGGGTGAAAAAGGTGAGAAGGATATTACCCTTCTAGGGCAGGGGGTTTTCAACTGGTTTTGTCCCAGGGACCACCATTCTGAATAGAAAGTAATTTGGGCCCACTGATGTGCCTGCACGCGCGTGCGTGTTTGTAACCCCCGCCGCCACGCCCCCCCACAGATATTCTTCAGGTGTAGAGACCATGGTGACTGGCTCCGCCCCCTTACTGCCAAAAAGAACAACAGCGAGCGCGTAGAAAACTCCTTCGAGCGCGAGCAGAGATTCTCCTCGCGAGCAACGAAGTTCACGTTTCGCAAGCGAGCAAATATCTCAAACATCCGCGAGCGAGCAAGTCCGGTTTCGCGCGAGCAAAACCGGACTTTTGCTCGCGGATGTTTGATTTATGCGCGCGCATCAACCTGAATTGCGCTCTCAAATTTTGACAGTGATTTGCCGCCATACCCCCCCCCCCCCCCCCCAAAAAAATAACTCACCGAATCTACACGATTCACGTAGGTCACCTATTTTGGTTTCAAAACGGCGAATTTGGCTGAAAGGTGAGGGATTTTCATGCCTGTCTAACGTTACCCTGCGCGTTACAGTTTGCAGAGGACCACCACTGTGTCCCTAAAAGACCGTGGTTTGAAAACGTCCTGCGAAATGTGGGAAATTTGTTGGCACTTCAAACACAGCCGTTAAATTATGGAGAGTTGAGAGCAAAGTGAACGAGGACAGCAGGAAGAGTTGCTAGTTCAACATGTTCCACCCGGTGGAATTCTGCTTCCAAGAAGATCAAATGTGTGCAGTTTTGTGTTTAAAATAACACTAACGATTTAAAAAAATGTATATGTATAAAATACACTCTTTCTAAAGTGATTACTCCTTACTTTTAAGATTTGTCTTAAAAGAAAAACAAACATTAAAAACAACATTGTAACAACAACATTTGTTAATCGCCATTAATCGAGATTAATGAATTGCAAAATGTGTGATTAATTCGTACATTTTTTCCCCTAATAAATATTCATACATGATACAGTGTATTTATGATTATATACATATACAGGTGATTACTGACGTCTCTGTCCACGGTGGTGGCAAAGCTGACGGCTTCTTTCTGGCTGCAGTTGACGGCTTTCTGCAGCGTGTAGATGACCTGTTCATATGTGTGCACTTCATCGTTAAACAACATGCAGTAGTAGGTGTCTTCTCTGGCCCTGCGCACGCACACGCACACACACACACACACAAATAGAGAGTAACACACAGACACAAAGAAAGTGTTATTACATCATAACTTGAGCCTAGTGATTTCAAATCAAGTCTACCACATACTGGCAAATAAAAAAGGCACTCATCACGAACAAATATAATAATGTTGCACACCAGGGGGCGCGCTAGCACGAAGCCAACATGGCGCTAGCATTGCACTAGTAATACTAGGACCTAACTGCTGACAAGTGGCTAAAACAGCCAGAGAGAATTGGTTGTATTTTTAGCTTGCTAGCTAGCCTTTGTGGCTAACCTTCCCATGCCTGCTTGGCCTACTCATGCACAGGCACCTGCGGGCGGTCTAGGCCACAATTTCTTTTCTTTTCTTTTCTAGTTCATATTTACAACCCTGCTGCTTAATGTATATACTGCTCCATGTATATTTCACACTGTACATTTATTTATATATACTCTGCACTTTATCTGCTCTCTTGCACTTCTGGTTAGATGCTAAACTGCATTTCGTTGTCTCAGTACCGGTTCTCTGCAATGACAATAAAGTTGAAGCTAATGTGTGTGTGTGTGTGTGTGTGTGTGTGTCTGTGTGTGTGCATGCGTACGGTGGCTCCAGCCCTTCAGGTAGTTGGTTCTCCTGATCCCAGGTCAGCATGTCCACAGCGTACTTGAGGAGGATTGAAAAGATGCTGAAACCACGAGCGACCATATCAGCAGGCAGCACAGATACAGGATCCTAGAGGGACAGACAGGACATGTTACACTAAGAGACAGACACAGTAGAGACAGAGAGGACACGTTACACAGAGAAAGAGAGAGTAGAGACAGACAGGCGTCTCTCACCTCCTCTGTGTCTCTGTTGGTTTCGGTAGGCTTGTGTTTCTGGCAGTATGGACCTTTCTTCCAGGCTTCAGCATCTCCACAGTCACAAAAGCCTCCACCACCTGACGTAGTCATCTACAGCACATATATAATAATCCAATAGATTTGGAAACATATAAATATATATATATATATATATATATATATATATATATATATATATATATATATATATTTTGTGTGTGTGCGCTTTACCACTGTGTGTATTTACCCTATACCGATGTTCTTTGTGAATACTCTCCAGGAAACACTTCATGCACAGCACACAGGTCGGATCAGCTGCACACTCCCTAGAAACACACACGGTTAATGCATGGACATAGTATATGTGTGTGTACTACCTGTTTGTGTGTTACCTGTGTGTGTCTGTGTGTTACCTTTGTGTGTGTGTGCGTTACCTGCAGGAGTAGGTGGGCTCTCCCACCTTGAACACGTGTCCACACAGAGGTGATGGCTGGTTGTTCTCCTGAAGGAGAGCCAGGCCTGAGGCCGGCTCCTCACCCAGCAGGAGCCACTCCAAAGGAGCCAGGAGGAGCATCTGAGAGACCAGATCCTCCCTCTGCTCCTCCTTCTGCTCCTCCCTGCTGCTCCCTCCACTGGGCCCCAGGCAAAGGATCCTGGGTACATACACAGCAAGGTGATGGTACACCTCCTGCTGTAGGTTGGCCGACACCAGCCATCGCTGTAGAGGGGGGCAGATTACAGATGTTTCTAACATTAAATAAAATGAATAAACGTAAATGGTAACAATAAATAAAGTAGAGCTGCTTCTCCTGTCCTTTGACTGTTTTACGTCTCAATTCTATGACTTACAATCCCGATTATCAATTTTTTACTGTGCAAGAGTTTCTATTTCACACATGTTTAGACAAAATAGGCTCTAAAGACAGTGATGTTATGCAATTGTTTTTTATACTTTTAAACTTTATTTAAAAGGAAGGGAAACTCTCTCCAACGTCGAAACCGGGATGTTTTGACCATATGCATATTTATATAAAAACACACACAAATGTGTACATACACTTGAGAAGGATTGACGTTTAATTGAAAAGCTTAAACAAGCAGCATTCACAATGACAGCTATGTGTCTTGTTCCTATTTTTAACAAGTTAAAAGGGTCGCCTGTTAAGCCGTAACACCTGCAGTTGCATGAAGCTTTAACACCTGTTGTTACAGATGTTTCCAACGTTACACACATGTTGGCAGTAGGGCGCCTGCAGTCGAGAGCATGAAGCCTGAAACACCCGTGTTGAAGACGTTTCTACCGTGGAATACATGTTAAATAATGCAGATGTTACTTCATAACTCGATGAGTCGGTGTCTGCGCTGATAGTTGGCGCTGACACGGTTGGTGTCACTCATCCAGATGTTTTACAGATCACTGCAAGCATTAGCAAAAGCGTTAGCATTAGCTCAGTGTAGCAGATTAGGAAGAATGCGTTAAACCGGTGAGAGATCGCGCTGTGACGCAACGGCGCCGTAACAGGTGCGGAGCTCGAGAGCGCGCTTACCAACGCGGTGTCTTTGGCGGAGAAGTTCAGGAACTCAGAACCTAGAAGAAACGGTGGGTCTCTGTCGGACTGGGCCGCCGCCATCTTCCTCCCTCTGCTGTGCTGCTGGACGAAAGAGAACCGGAAACGGAAACCATCAACTGCTGAGGGGGCGTGGCCAAATAATAACAAATAACTATCCATCCATCTTCAACCGCTTATCCGGGGTCGGGTCGCGGGGGCAACAGCTCCAGCAGGGGACCCAAACTTCCCTTTCCCGGGCCACATCTACCAGCTCTGACTGGGGGATCCCAAGGCGTTCCCAGGCCAGAGCAGAGATATAATCTCTCCACCTAGTCCTGGGTCTTCCCCGGGGCCTCTTCCCAGCTGGCCGTGCTTGGAACACCTCCCTAGGGAGGCGCCCAGGGGGCGTCCTCACCAGATGCCCAAACCACCTCAACTGGCTCCTTTCGACGCAAAGGAGCAGCGGCTCTACTCCGAGCTCCTCGCCAATGGCTGAGCTTCTCACCCGATCCCTAAGGGAGACGCCAGCCACTCTCCTGAGGAAACCCATTTCGGCCGCTTGTACCCGTGACCTAGTTCTTTTGGTCATGACCCATCCTTCATAACTAAAATAAATCCGTACAAATACATGGACATATGTTATTAATGTTGTATTTTGTATCATGATACAAAAACTGTAGCCAAACGAAAAAAAGTTACTACTCTGACATGTAGTAGTAGAGTCAAATGCCCAATGTGGAACTGGGTAACATTAGTACAATAAAACGTACAATATGGAGTACAGTAAATATACTTTACTTAGTATTTCGTAGTCTTGTAGTACATAGTTAGTAGATAGTACTTAGTTAATATGTAGTTAGTGTTAAGCCAGAAGAGACGGACCAGCTAGTTAGACTTCAAGAATGTCTTGGAGACATCAAACACATCAGTGTTAGATACCTTTAGTGAAACCTTTAGAATTTATTCTCTCGTACGAGCTCCGGTTGGGAAGTACACTGCTAGTCTTCGTTCTTGTTATGTTGTTGTTTTGCGCAGGCATCTTAACAAATATTACTATATATAATCCACCCACTTTCCTCCAGGGACCGGCCGACGGGGGGGATGGGAGGGAAATAGTTTGTAGGCAGAAAATAGTTAGTTGTGGCTGTAATTAACCTCTTTTGCACTGAAGATATTTTCAAGTGAATAACAAAAGTGCAACCTGTGAAAAAGTTAAAAATATTTTACAATAAAGTGTTTTACACGACAAATCTTTTCAAAACAACCCTTATGTGCAACCTGTGCAAAACAACAAAATTAGATATGTATGTGCGATCTCATTCTTTTGTAAGACGTTGTCATTATTAGTGGCTGCAATGAACCTGCTTTCCACTACAAACCTTTTCATAACAGGGATGCAGACAGATTCAGCCTCTCAATTCATGCTCAATGTTGAGCTTGGATCTGTATCTCGTTTTGTCAGAGACAACTGCAGTCCCTGTACATTTCTCCTTTGTAATATGGGAAGTTCTGAATAAAGTCCATGAAATAAAATAATTCTGAATTTCCAAATGCGACCCACCTGTAATAGCACCGTGACCCACTAGTGGGTGGCTCCCCACAGTCTGCTATCTGCTATAAAGCAACTCAACCATGATCACATGACTTCACATTAGGCTATAAACACCTGACCCCAAATGATAATAAAACAATGTAATACAAAATTTGAGTGAACATATTTAATTGGACTGACTGAAAGGTCAAGATTACATTTCTGATATGAACACTGATACTTTAGACAGGTTACATAAGTTGGTTACATAAGTGCCTTTGAGCAGGAGACGTGAAGTTGTAAATCGTATTTTATCCAAACCAATGGTTGCCCATACAGTCTGTGTTCCAGGAAACTCCACAGAGCCAACACCACTCAGCCCTGCATAGGGGGCACTGCATGTGCATGCATCCGCCTGCAGGGGGCGACATCAAAGGGTCATAAAGTACTTATTAACAGTAGTATATATATAGTATAAGACACTACTGTAATATGAACGGTCTGTGCACAAAGTGTGGTCTCCACTGGCTCCGTTTCCAGGTCCCTAATTTCAGTTAGGATCACTGAAAGGACATGCTGAAATTGTACACAGTTTACACAGAAAGAACCTCATATGTTAAAACAGTTTCCACTATTCCCTCTGCTGTAAGTTAAAATCACACTACTAAATGTTAGATCCCTTAGCAATAAGTCTTTTATTTGCCAAGAGTTTTATTCTTAAGAAGAAGCTGCCCTTTCTATGCGTCCTAATTTAATCATGCACCGGGGTGAGTTATAACAACGACCAACCTGGTTCACAGCGGAACTCAGAAAGCTACGACTGCAGAAGGATCAGGCATTTAGGAGTGGGGACAAAGACTTGTACACAGAGTCAAAATACAGGTTTAGCAAGGCAGTGAAAGACGCTAATTGACTGGATGTCTGAGAAACTTCAACAACAGCTCTCAGCAAGTGACTCGGTGACTTCGGTCTGGAGAAGCTTTCATCACCTTAAGCCAAGTTTATGCAAGAGCCCCTTGCGTGTCCCTTGCGTGTGTCGACCCATTTTTCTAGCGCACAAGGCTGCGATTGGTCTGCTAACTACATCCTTTACGGAGTCTCACGTTTCCGTTTTCATAGCCCGATACCGCCATTATTAAAACGAAGAATGTTTACGAGAGAACGGATCAGATTGAAGAACTTTTTTCGGAAGAAATGCGTAAATATGACCACTTATACAACCCGCCAATGACGGGTTGTATAAGTGGGTTGGATTCATGGAGGGAGATCGCGGCAAACGCTGGTTTGCCGTTCGAGGGGTGAACAAAGTTGTGGTGGAAAATACGGGACAAATGTGTCCGCGATGAAAAGCAGCAGTGGCGATGCACAGGCCAATAAAGTCTATGATAAATAAACAAACAATTTTAATTTTAAGGTACTTCTCCTCACCTACAAGGCACTTGCTGGTGAGGCACCGTCGTATCTTAAAGAGCTTGTAACACCTTATTGCCCTACAAGGAGCTGCGCTCCATAGATGCTGGTTACTTGTTGTTCCTATGGTTTTAAAAAGTAGGCTGGGGGCCAGAGCCTTCAGTTATCAAGCTCCTCTTTTGTGGAACCAGGTTCCACTTTCAGTCCAGGGGGCAGATTCGGTCAGCTCTTTTAAAGTAAAACTTAAAATGTTCCTCTGTGATTGTGCCTATAGTTAGGGCTGGCTCAGGTTAGCCCGGACCAGCCCTTAGTTAAGCTGCTATAGGCTTAGACTGGCGGGGGAATTCTTAGGACACACCGAGCTACTCTCTCACGCTCTCGTTCTACCATAATTCACGTTTTATTAATGCACATGACTAATTCAGCTTCTTTCCGGGAGGTTTTTGTGCTTTCTCCTCTAGCAGGTCTCCGTAGATCGTGGTTCCTTCGGGACCCTGGTCCTGACACCTGCCGTGGCCCTGCTGACGCCTGCTGCTGCCATCATCATCATCGTCATTATTATTTTAGATATTAATCATATTACTGTACTCGTAAACCAACATTACCCTCTCCTAAAGTCTCTGTGCTCTCCCTCCCCACAGGCTTATGTGGATGGTGGTTCTATGTGATGGTGGTTCTATGTGATGGTGGTTCTATCTGATGGTGGTTGTCCCTGCTGTACACCTGCTTACTACTTGCAATTATTTGACTCATTTCTGTTATAGGAACTGAATGTATTAAACATATTTTACATTGTTCATTCTGTACACATGGCGTCATTGTAGTCTGTCCATCAGGAGACGGATCCTCCTCTGACGCCCTCACTGAGGTTTCTTCCCTTTTTTCCACATGGAAGGGGTTTTTCGTTTGTTGGGGAGTTTTTCCTGTGCCGATGGGTTTCAGGACAGAGGATGTCGTATGTGTACAGACTGTAAAGCCCTCTGATGCAAATTTGTAATTTGCAATTTTGGGCTATACAAAACAAAATGAATTGAAATTGAATTAAACTGTGGAACTCCTTTCACTGCAATTTGAGATTTGAGGCAAATTCAGTGTCATCTCTTCAAAGTTATTATCTTATTGACGAGAGAAGAACCATGATGTTCACAGTAGAAACAGGAGGTCAATCTGAGCTACTGTTCAGTTTAAACCAGTTTGATGTGTTACCGTCTCTCTCCACAGGAACCGAGCACTGAGGACAGCGTTTAGTCGTCTCCTGCAGGAGGAGCAAGGAGGCTTGATCCCACCTCCCTTTGACAGACGCCTCCTCCTCCACCACGAAGCCCTGAGGAGGAGAAGCAGGAGGTATTCTAATGTATCCATATATTGGCTTTGTTTTCTGTACAGATGTAGAACTCAATCTGGAACAAGTCAACCTAGGTATATATAGTCTCCTCTGATTGGTCAGCTCACCTGGGAGGATTCCGCTATGGGTGGGGCCTGTTCAGTGAGACATGCCCCCTCATGGTACCCCTCCCTGCAACATTTGCAGAAGACAAAGCCACAGCCGAGATGTCTGTCACACGTCACCCTCCTGCTGTCATCAGGTGGGATAAGCCCCGCTCCACAGCCAGGTGACGGACACATCAGTCCTCCATTCATAAGAAGACACTCCTCCGCCCCGTACTTTTGGTAACGCCCATACTGAGAAACACAACAGACCTCAAGTCAATCTTTTTCCACGGTTACATTGCTTACTTCACATACAGTGTAAACTTCAAGCAAAGCTAACTGTAGCAGAAAGCATAAAAGAGGAGGAAGAAGAAGAGAGGAGGAAGATGAAGAAGAGAGGATGAAAGGAGGAGCAGACACTCACCTGATCGTCCCCGAGAATCCTGAAATGATGCAACTCTTTAATGAGAGAGTCAGCGCAGCCGGCTGGAAACACAAATATCACATGTTATTTATAATCAATGACTTATTGTATTGATGACACATTGAGTCAGTGAGTCTCACCAGCACATGGCAGCGAGTAACCAATCACAGGGTGAGAAAAAAAACGTCTGTCATTGAGACGAGTCTGACAGTAACGATGGAAACAGTGGAGACAGATCACATGACGCTCTGCACACTGGAATACCAGGACCAGCTCCCTGAGAGACAGACAGGAAGGGAGGATGACCGGAAGGGAGAGACAGGTTTATTTTC